AATTATTTTTTTTAACTATAAAAAAAATTATTATTTTCGGCTATGGGCCCTTAAATGGCGTGCCCCCCCCCCCCCCCGCCCGCATTGCGGGGTCTGGCGGCACTGTAGTTCCGCCCCTGCATTGGTGTTAGAAAAACAAATACAAATACTAAAGCAATGAGGAGTGTCGGTAATGTTGCTGGATGAACCGGTTGCATCCGGTTGAAATTGAATGAAGGTTGTTTAGATGGTGTCCGTGTGTTAGATAGATGTGTATTGGGTTAGTTGCTATGGTTGGTTGATTTAGGGTCGTGTAGATGCTATAATTAGTTTTAGATTTAAAAAATAAAAATCTTTGTTGTCGAGTCATTCAGCAACACAGTGGAATCGTGATGTACAGAGAGATTTTACTTAATAATATGCGGATTTTAAAAATAACTTACATGACTGCTATATGTGAAAATACCAATGAATATTTTATTAGGAACTACACACTATAGTGGAGACGATTTGGATACAGCTAAGTATGAAAGACAGTATACCTTGGTGTTTGAAAAATAAATTCAGTTCGCCCCCCAGCCATATAAACCCACGTAGAATAAAGTTAATTATGTGACCTCGGCATATGAAGGGATGGTGTGGTCAGCATTATGCCCAGCTGCCTTTACTTTCCCTTATGTAAGCTGGTTACCCATCAGAGCTGGGCGGACTCAGGGACTATCTACTGACTTCAACCTGGATTCAAACTCGAGATTTACGGGTTAGCAGTGTAGCTCTCTACCGCTAGGCTACTCCATCCCCTTATATAAACAACTTAATTAAAATCGAAATCCGTCTATGAACAAAGCGCTTAAATCGCGGTTTCCAGTAAGTCTTAATGATATTAAACAAATATATAGGCTACCTGTTCTCTTTACAAGTTTTGATTTATTTTTTGTATATTTTGTATAAAGTTGAAATCGGAACATAACATATTCTTAATTTAATAATATTACAAACCTCACATATTATGTTGATGTTTTATGGGACTTTTTAAAAAATAGGGTTGATTATTTTTTATAAAAACTTGTAAATCTTAAATTACATATGATTATTTTTACAAAAATGTAGAAATCTTAAATTACATATGATTATTTTTTATAAAAACTTAGAAATCTTAAAATACATATGATTATTCTTATAAAAACTTAGAAATCTTAAATTACATATGATTATTTTTATAAAAACTTAGAAATCTTAAATTACATATGATTATGCTGAAATAATCGCACCACACTAAGACAAGACAACAGTAGTGAAGTATAAAAATAAAGCCTCAGAAAGTTTGACTGGGAGGTCCTGTTCAGATATTGGGTTGTTGGATACTACTGTGTCACATATTGCTGTCCTAATTGGAATGTGAGTCAAGTCAAGGTGTTTTATATGTAATTCATATTGGCAAAGGGATGAAGCGCTAATAGCACAAAGTGGTTTTTCGACAAACATGTTAACCACATTAAAATTTATATCACAAAGCTAAATACTGTCTATTACAATGAAAACTATATTTTGTTTTGCTTGCAAAATAAATCGATATTTTATGGTTGAATTATTATGTTTTAATTCAGTCATTCTGAGTTCACTCTAGTACAAGCTAAATCACGTCTATGGAAATGCAGCTTAAACTATATGAAAATCAAACAATTTTACTATTTAAATATTCCTAATAGTAAAATTGTTTTCTTTTTAAATAGTTTAAGCTACATTAAATATTTTTATTAGGTGAATGTGTGTAACTCAAAATTATATTCGATCTGCATTCAACCGGTTTTTAAACGTAACATGAAATATAGTCCAGAATTGAGAATACTGAGAAATATGAAACAATAACGCATACAATTTATAACAAAAAACATCTAACAACCCAATATCTGAACAGGACCTCCCAGTCAAACTTTCTGAGGCTTTATTTTTTACTTTCTCGTATATACGAAGTATAGAGAAAGTCTTTACACCTCACTGATACGGAAAAACATAATTTTCAATCTTGTCCGTATGTCTGTGTGTCTGTCTGTGTGTGTGTGTGTGTCCGTGTGTAAACACGATAACTTGAGTACCGTTACAGCTAGATTGATGAAATTTCATATATAAGTATTTTATCAAAATCGTAGATCCTTATCAACTTTTGAGCGATTTCCGATAACCGGAAGTGGTACTTTTCCTACTTTGAATTTTTCAATAGCCTTTAACTTGAGTACTATTTCAGATAGATAAATGAAATTTCACGTGTAAGTAAAAGATCTAATTCTCTACCTTCTGTTAAATTTTGAGTAATTTCCGTTGACCGGAAGTAATAATTTACGCTACTTCCGTTTTCTCAAAAAACTAATGTAAATTTTTAAAGTACTAATAATATTGCGCACTATTATGCACTTTTTTATTTGGCGTTCACTTAGTGTGCAATTAATTTGTCTACGAGATTTTATTATATTATTAAAACTTTAAGTATGTAAAATGGATTAAAAATCATGTCTATAGCCCGAGTTCCCATCCCCTGTTATTTTATATAAGAATATTCGAGAAAGTTTAGGGGAGATCACTCCCGGTTTATTTCTCAATGTTTCAGTAATACTCATAGCCAGAATAATAGTAGTTAAAGTAATAAGTATTAAATTTTACACATCTGTTTCAGTAAAAAAGACTCAAAAAACACAATAATATCTACCCAAGCTAATATATCTTACATCCTGGTTTCATCTCTTGGCCGACTGCAGTACTGATGTCGCGCTCTGATTAACACAGTATAGTGTGTTTTGCTGTCATTCTAACATAACGTCACCGTTAACTTAGCACGATGTACATATATTTTGTATTCGAAAGTTATTTTATTCATTAAAGAGGTGTCTTTCAGCGAGGTGTCTTTCTATTAATAAAATCGCTTGGTTGAAATAAACACAGTTCACCTTACCGCAGCATATGAAGGGTTAGTGTGGTCAGACCCATGTTGAATCAAAATGGGTGTTTTAAAAGATACTAATATGTATGAGATATGACGTCTTTTTTAATGCAGGGTCCGGCTTTTTGTAACGATATGTAAGTGGGGAGGGGAAGGAAAGATGAAAATCGCCAAATAAGCAAGACGTCATTTATGGATGACCCTTGAAGCTTAAAGTTATCCAAACACAACGGGTAGTCTAGTACAAATTAGTTTAACATGTTAACTTTTGGGTGAGCACTGTAACGACTTATTGGTAACAACGCAAAAAAAAATCCCAATATCTAAAAAACTTAAACACGTATACAACAGGTGAGGAAAACATAGTATCGGATAAAACATAACGATACATGACACATTAAATTTAACATCCACCATAAACTTGAAAATCTGGTTCCAATTAGTTCCAAAGTGGGTTTTGCCAGAAAGCTCATTTTTCAAACAAAAGTGATTGTTAAAAACATTTCAGAAATAAGTACAAAATGACTTTCGGTTTATTAATAATCAAACAAATGATTGCTTGTAATTGGTAGTTAAGCTAATACTTTTATTTTTAATTTGGATTAGTAGATTCAGTGTGTTGTAGTGATAGGGGATGTTATAGTACGCTTTACTTCATTGACCGTTATTTAGTATTTTATCATATAAAACAATTGTTGTGATTGTCATTGTTTTACTTTCCGTGGCTACTACGGTTGAATTCAAATAGGGGTAGAGAGCGTTTTTTTTTTTACTTTCTCGTGTATACAAAGTATAGAGAAAGTCTTGTAAGCGTGCAGTCGTGAGTCGAAAAAAACATAGTTTTGCAATCGTGTCCGTATGCCTGTGTGTGTGTGTGTATGTGTGTCTGTTTGTGTGTGTGTGTAAAAACGATAACTTGAGTACCGTTACAGCTAGGTTAATGAAATTTCATATATAAGTATTTTATCGAAATCGTAGACCCGTTTCAACGTTTGAGTGATTTTTGATAACCGGATGTGGTACTTTTTCTTCTTTGAAGTTTTCAAAAGCCTATAACGTGAGTACTGTTTCAGATAGATAAATGAAATTCACGTGCAAGTAAAAGATCTAATCTACTACCTTCCTTCAAATTTTGAGTAATTTCCGTTGACCGGAAGTACTAATTTAGGCTATTTCCGATTTCTCAAAAAACGCATGTAAATGTATAAAGTACTTATAATATTGCGCACTATTATGCACATCTTTTTTTGGTGTACGCTTTGTGTGCAATCCTTTTTCCAAGAGATTTTATTCCATTTTAAAAAGTTTAAGTATTTAAAATGGATTATGGATTAAAAATCATGTCTATATCCCGAGTTCACATCCCCTGTTGTTTTATATAAGAGTATTCGAGAAAGTTTGTGGGAGATCGCTCCTGGTTTATTTAATAAAATGTCCAGGTTTATTATATAACTTCCTATATTAGGCACACACATTTAATATGTTTGTATTTCTATTTGTTTGCATTTCCTTAGTCATTCTACAGCTTACAAAACGGCAAATCCTGCAAAGTGCAGACTATCGTTTGTTCGATTTTAAAATAATGTAATAACGTATCTGTATCCCAATCATTTACTCATTATTCTTATCCCTAACTATTATATTATCTCATTAATACTATCCCTAACAAAATCCATAACAATTCTCATAACCAAAAACTGACCTTCTAACATGAACACTAAAAACACATAATTAGTTTTGGTCTAATCTAAGATTGGGAAGATAATTAATCTGGTGATAATGGCATGGATTATATAGCGGGGAATGATTAACCTAATGATGACTTTCAACCAGTTATCCAGAAGATTATTTGCATCAACGTGATAGTAGGGGAGTTTGAGTAGAAGTTTTGGTAGGAGAATTGTATATGTTGGTATGAAATATGCAAATTTAAGTCATAGAAGGTGATTCTAAAGTGATTGGATTGCATGGGAATATGACTCGACACGCTGGTGAATTTAATTTGTCTGTTAGGAACATGACACCGTAACTTAATGTTTAAAAATGTGACATCATGTTAACGATTGGATTGTATCGATAAGTTAAGATGGCCTCAATTCTTTTTTCTCTAGGTATGCCTTTAAGAATTATCACAGGAAAAACAAGTCACAATTCGTTCATCATCAGTAAAACACAACATAGATGTCCACGACATATGTAGTAAATAAAGTAGAGCTATGTTTCGATAATGTGGTACATCTATTTTCAACTAGTTAGATTCTTTAACGTAAATCAGGTACACATTAGAGCAGGGTGGAAACAGGGACATCCTAAACACTCGAGACCAAGATGACCATTGATAATATGCTATGATTCGTATAGCAAGTGTGGTAGATGTAAAATGTTATACATTTCATATTAAATAACTAAGAACAAACTTTTATTGGATGTAAAAATCACAAAAAATAATAAATCACACTTATCCACTATGTTTCAACGTTTAATTGATGTAACAGGTTCCTGGCTATTTCCACTAAAAGATTCACAACAAAAAGTTCAGGCAAAAATTTTCACTAGTGGGAAGTTCTCTAACACAACAAGACACATCACGGTCCTGTCAGATGGTTCCATATCAAAACAAGAATTATTCATTTGCACAGGTGATGTAAAGTCTCTTGTCTTATGGTTTATAGTTTTCTTTTTAATTGGTTTCAATATTTTATTAAAATGATTTATCACGTGTAGCATGCGATGTGTCACCAAATGTTATGATATTTATCAACCAATTTACAAACAACGGGTGTATTAATTTAGCTTACATTTTCTTCAAGGCTTTGACTATCTTTTTTTTTACTTTTCCGATTCTATTTACGACAAAAACTGCCTTTAAAACCCACCAAATAAAATCGAAGGAAATCATTTTTTTTACCAGGCCATCATGATTAATGCTTAGGAGTAAACAACAGTGACCCTCGACATTTGCTGACCCTAACCTCTGGACTTCAGGTGATGTGTGACACAATGACAGACGGTGGAGAATGGACCATTTTCCAAAGACGTGTTTCTGGGGCTGTAGACTTTTATCGGAACTGGACAGAATACAAAAATGGGTTTGGTGATTTTACTTCAGGTAATTTTTACCTTGGCAATGAGAACATGTATCTCTTAACGTCTAAAAACAGAATAGAACTGAGAGTAGATATGATCTTCAATGAAACAAGTTATTTCGCCAAGTATTAAAGCTTCAATATTTCTAGCGAGGCAGACGGCTACAGGCTAAACGTTGGTGGTTACACAGGAGACGCTTGGGACGGTCTAGCGCAGAGGCGTAGCGACGGTGGGGGCAGGGGGGTACATATGTCCCCGGGCGCCGACCTTAGGGGGCACCAAAATGGGTTGTCAAAACAAAATTAAAATGTTATTTTAGCTGCATTTTTGCCTTATAACTAGTTTGAGGGATGGGGGGTGCAAATCGAAAGTTTGGGGGGGTGCAAATTGAAAGTTTGAGAGGGGGGGGGGTGCAAATTGAAAATTAGCTCCCGAAAGGGGTGCCAAATTTAAAGTTTGTCCCCGGGCGCCGGGAAGGGTCGCTACGCCTCTGGTCTAGCAGCACACAAAGGTATGATGTTCTCTACATTTGATCGCGATAACGACAAATACAGTGGATTTAACTGTGCTAATTACTTCCACGGAGCGTGGTGGTTTAAAAGTTGTCATAACTCTCATCTTAACGCTGGTTGGGGGACAAACAATTTATACTGGATGCGCATGTATAATACATCACTCAATGAAATGAAATTTAGAGCAGTCTAACGTCATTAGAAGTTTCAGTCTTCATTTGAATACATTAATGACGTTGTTTAAATGATGGAGCATATATATATATATATATATATATATATAGGCCATTGAAAGTATTGTAATTTATATTTTATCGTGATTATAAATGTACGTCAAACTGAAAGAAAAAAAATAACGTAATTTGACGTTATTAAAAGGTGGATTATTTTAGTTATCGCGTAATCTATATAGCCTACATGTATACATAAATAAAAGCATGTTTGCGTTTCTGTCTGTGGTGTGTATGACTGTCTTTTGTGTATTTCTACACTTTTCACCCGTTGCCATGTAAAGTTTTAAAAAATACACTTAGAGAGGTTTCAGCGAAAAAAAAATTATAAACTAGGGCTTCCTAGAGCCTAAAGAGCCACATAAAATTATAAGTGGTATTATTATTTTTAAATAATAAAGGGAAATAGCCAACTTAAATTATTTTTGCAAACAATAATTAACTTGGCTATTTCCCCATGTCCATAAAATTGTGTAATATTTAAAAAAAAACCTACGACTTCTTACTTTAATACATTTTTCTTCGGATGGTTTGGTTCAGGGATCGATGTTAAAGTATATCGCTATAAATAAATTAGATGTGTCTTAATTTCGTCTAGGTGGTTAATGTGCCAAAAGTTAGTGCGCTGTTGGGTAACACGAGTTTTCCCTCGTCTACCTGACTGTGGTCAGTTGATTATTGGGGCAAATGGCATCGTATACTCGGGTAATCGCAATCCACGTGATGTTGTGATCTATAGCTCCTAGGCCTCCCCATTTAAGTGCGACCAAGACGATGAGTTTAGTAGACTACTATAATCTATAATCTATGACTAAAATGATACAAGGCGGTACCAGGGACAACTGAGGTAGTTCGACTGGTGTCTCACTCAATAAACCTCGCCCTTCATGAAGGTGATCAATGTACACTGTTGTTTTTTCTGAAGCAATTTGCACCTGTTATTAAAGCATCGACAGCGTTAGATATCGACACACAAAATAGGTAACTTATCTAAAAATACATCCTTGATAACAATAAATTAAATGCTATTATAAAGTGTGTCATGGAATCTTTTGTTTTGAGATTGCATCAACACGCGAAACTAGTTCATTTTAAAAGACAAACTTTAGTTAAGTTATACAGCACTGTCTAGTTAAGTTATGATTTGTGTACCGTTAGAGGTCATCAAATAGATGAACAAACAAACAACATATTTAATGGATATTTATAATTAAATCAATAACCAATACAACATAACATTCAAATAAGGCAATGAACGTTTTAAACTCCTTTTCATTCCATCAAGATATTTTTTTACCGGTCCAAAATTTTAACAATTATAGTGATTTTTTTATTATCTTTTGATTTTGATGCACTTTAATGTGATATTTATTTTCGTTTAATTTCATTGCAGGTTCATGATATAATTGATTGACGTTGGTTTATTTCCATCTTCATGAGTATAATATAGATTTATGATTAGAGATTCGTGTTTAATTTTTTTTTAAACTGACCTTGATATTTTATAACTTATACTCTTTAAGTAAACTTGATGTTTTATGTTTTATATACCTTGACTAAACTTGATATTTTATACTTAATATACTTTAACTAAACTTGATGTTTTATACTGTATGTATTTTGACTAAACTTGATGTTACTTCAACAAAAAAATGTTACAGATCTACAGCTTGTGTTTAAGACAATCGTCAGTGGGATCAAACTACAGAACAAATAAATCACAGACCGACATCTGCTGACACAATAAAAATATATGCACATCTATAGGCTATTGTTACCAGAGTTTCTTCCACCTATCTCTTCGGGGCCAAAATGGAATTTATATAGTAAACATATACTTTTACCAGTGTCCGTCCCCCCTCCCCTTTCCCTTAAAATGTAGACCGCCCCCCACCCCGCCCCCCTCCCGAGAATATCAAGTGCCGTTCCCCCCCCCTCCCCGGAGAAAAAAATTCTGGAAGAAACACTGCCTTATATTAATTGAACATAATTCAAATTTAAAAAAAAAAATTATTTCGTGTTTCAATACACGTAAAGCCAATGTATGGTTACTAATATAAATATGACAAACGAGATATAACTGTCACTTTACACTAGCAGAGGCAAATCAAATCAACTAAAGTAATCAATTAACTTTGACGTGTTTTAAGGCCGAAGTTTATTTTTAAATTTGTATTTGACATAAGAAATATAAAATGATAATAATAAATGCAGCTACATTACACTATAAACAATGACTATTTTTAAACCACCACCTTGGCCTAGTCTCAAGACATGATCAGCCATCCTGGCTAGTTTCTCGAATATCATACTACCTACATGATATACTTTGATTATAAAATACTTTTATTTTCAAAATTGTTATATTTATGTAATATCGTTTTTCCTTACTTGTACATTTTTGCTGTAGTATTTGAAATGTAATATTTTGGAAATCATATTTTTCATTCACTGTTTAATTATTGTATTTACTTAACACTGCGTAATACATTTATATTGTGCAATTAGGTACAAAACATTAGTGCTCAGCAGTTTCCATCTTAAATTAACGTATATACTATGATACAGTGGTTTGACTAAGAAGAGAGACCAAATTGAATTAAAAATGTTCGTTCTCAACACACACATGTCACGTGATAGCACACCTTTTGTATTTACAACTAGAAGATGGTAGAGTGGGTAAATTGGGTACGCATAAAACACTCTATTAAAAAAAACATATTAGGTGATGTTGAATTTTTGTATTCAAACAAATTGTCTACATAAAGCGACACCTTTTAAAAACACGACATAGCAACATACATATATGTATGTATGCTTGAATTTACAAAGGTATACTTTCTTTATTTAGTACTAGGTTTGTCTTTTTCATAAACTTCGGTGTTATGCTAGTTTATTCCAGATTTTCAGAATGGATACAAAATAAAATCATTTAATTATCTGAACTTAAAAAAAAACCATTTCGATTACATATTCATACATTTAAAGATTAAATTCTTGAGCAGATATTGTTTTCAGGCTTACACGATTTAATTTGGAAATCTTTATTTGGTTGTTTTTGGATATCGTAAATTTGAACTGTTCTATTAAAGTAAATAGATGTTTTTTTTGTACGTCTCTTTTTCAATTGGTGTTTTGTTTCAATATATATATATATATATATATATATATATATATATATATATATATATATATATATATATATATATAATGTAATAAAAATATGTATTTACATAAACAAAAAATGTTGGCTTTTTTAAAAATTAATCTGATGACGAGATTTTAATATATAATATGGCCACACAATGCAACATGTGTAGACAGACGACAGTAAAATATTCTACGTCATGGTAATTCTAAACGATGTATAAACAGAAAATAACAACTTGAGAAAAAATAAAATATTTCAGAAGTGACCCGGAGCGATACTTCAGAGAATGACACAATAAGAGTTAGGTAGCACTGGAGTCACATTCGAGATAAAATAAGGGAAAGCAACCAGATAAACGGCGGAATAGCAAAATCCTGTTGTCAACCTTGACAAGTTTGTTATTAAAGTTAAGTTTCCCATTTAAACCTGACGGTCTATGGTGAAGTAGAGTTCACTTGTTTCTGTGACATCGGCATATGAAGAGATAGTGTGGTCAGCACTATGCCCAGCCGCCTTTACTTTCCCTAACATGAGTTAGGTACCCATAGGAGTTGGGTGGACTCAGGGACGGTCTACTGATGAACCCGGATTCGAACTCGAGACTAAAGGGTTAGCAGTTCAGCTAGACCACTCCGTCCCATAAGTTTGGTATTGCCTGTGATGACAACACAGTTTATATGTTTTCGTTTTTGTTTCCATTTTTTACTATCAACTAAGCTCAATATTCCCCAGATATTCCGAAGTCTATTAGTTTGGTAGATATGTAAATTTTAGCTGCTGAACGTGATGCAATAGCATCATATTCCAGGTTCATTTTACAATGTGGTTTCTGTTTTATGTGTTATATCACAGTTCACCACATGCGAGAAATATGTAAAAGATAATATTACATCGCAAAACTTCTGGAGAATTTATCAAACAGCCAAACTGTTGGATTCGTTAGCCATTGTAACAAAAGTGAAAAAGTTAATGGTAAACAATTATCCAAGTGTTGTCGAATCTCACGATTTCATTCAGATATCTTTGGAAGTGTTCGTAGACCTTCTACGACACTTTCGTGTAGTGAACGACTCAATTTTAAAATGGACATGCTCTGATGACCCATACCTCGCCACTGAGCCGAATAAATGTATCAGCACGTCATATACAGCTGAGACAGATACTGGACTTCAAAAACTACTATGCATGGCAGAACATTAGAGCCGATGAAGTGGATGACCTAACACTTCGCAGGTCGTACCTCGGTCAGTTACTGACCTCAATTCCTCTGAAAGATGTCAACAACGCGTGTCTGTCCAAACTTATAAACAAGAAATTTATCAACGACGACAAAGATGTCATCACACTGGTCAACAAATACGTCGCAACAAGGCTAGAGGCCACTCAGCTACACCTACTAGAGGCCACTCAGCTACACCTACTGAAGAGTTACAAAAGTATCATCAAGTCTCCGCTGTCACCAAGACCAGCTTCTAGGAATAATACTAACACGGAGCACTGCATAAGGCCATACTTAGACATTCCCGTGGAATTTCTGTATCTTTTGATTTCTGTACTCGTCGCCGTTTGAATTGCCACATTCTTATTTAGATGTTGACCGCGGATACAGCCACACCATTAGATATTACTAGTCCAGATCTAGTACACGGTGTTGTCATTAACGTAGAATGCTGGAAAAAATTCACCATTACCCCACCTACTCAGCACTGCTACACCCGAGGCCTGACGTGGACAACATACAACTGAATTACCCGTCCCATTGCTTTAACAGATCAAATCATTACAATCTTGATAGTTGAATTCAGTAGCTTT